TAGCACATCCTGTACTGTTGTTAGTGTAAGCCCCTGGTTGATAAACAGCTTCTAGGAGTAGCCGCCCTTCCACCCGACGTCGTAGTACCCCTCCTCCTCTCCTGCATGACTCCTTTGTGCCTGAAAGAAGGAGACAATCGAAAGATCGGGTGGAGGCGAGGATGTCGATGAGGCGCAACCCCGTGGCGCTCTGGGGGTTGTAGCCAAGGACGCGGAGGGCTGACCTCGCGGGCGCCAGCGCCATCGGGCTCGCGCGTCGCGGCGAGGAGTGCGACGACTCCTCCACGCCCTCTGGTGGTGTGCTGAACCCCCGCTCCTGTCATCGTCTGGGCCAGGGGGGCTGAGGAAGAGGAGGAGGATGAGGAGGATGAGGGGGAGGAGGAGGAGGAGGAGGAGGAGGAGGAGGAGGAGGAGGAGGAGAAGGAGGAGGAGGAGGAGGAGGAGGAGGAGAGGAGGAGGAAGAGGAGGAGGAGGAGGAGGAGGAATAGGACCGAGGAGCGAGGATGAGGATGATCGAGGCAGAGGATGAGGAGGAGGACGAGGGTGAGGAGGAGGAGGAGGATCTTTCCATTCAACACCGCCCTACAGGTGACCTGAGGGAACAAAACGGATATGGCCGTGGTATTCACGAATCCATATCTGGCATGGGCTCGACACTAACCCCTTTGAGCTTAGGGTGATGCCCACGCTGCATGAGCCCCCAACGGTCCCAGTCATTACGGCCAGTCTTGGCGGGATCACACTGGCGGCTGAGCCGCAGCACACTGCCGAGACAGGTGTAGGCTTTACACCTGACGCAGGCGAAAAGTGGCGACCCGTCACTGCGCTGCAAAGCAAGCATGCGGTGACCCAAAATCCAAATCAGTTGCACGGACGGCGGTGGCTCACCGCGACATCCTGTCAAAGATGGTCGCTCAACGCAGCGACGAAAACGGAGACAGCACATGCACCGCCAGACACCGCGATACCATTCCCATTGGTGAACGAAGTGGGGCTCAAGCGAAGGGGGAGGTGGCATGGGAACGGCACGCTGCACTTCACTGAGATCGAACTTCAGCCAACTGGGCAAAACCGCGGCGGAAACTCTACAGACGACACGGACAGTGGCAACTGTACGATCTATCTGCGCCATATCGCCCGCACTGGCCTGCGGGTGGAGCGACGCGCCGTGCTTCGCAGCTCTGTCGGCCGCGTCATTGCCGAGCTTAAAGAATTTCTCCTCTTCAGTCACGCCTGCAGATTCGACAGTGCGAGCGTTAACTTTCCTCGCGCCACGCCAGAACTTGGAGGAAGAAGCAACTGCACTGTAAGAGTATTTCTTCTTATCTGAAAATCGCACGGCTCTTGGTGCCGAATGGGCCCTGGCGACCCCTTCGCAATCCGCGTAGCCCATTGCGGGCCCTTCCAAGCATTGAGCAGTCGCAGAGTACGCACTGTACTCCCCAGCCTGAGATGTCTGGGGAAAGGGCTTGGACACCGCCCCCGAGACAGAAACAATTACTTCCCCTTGAGGGTCCACAGGCACAAAGCCCCAGCCCGCCCTTGACAGCTCCTTGATGACATGCTTGTAGGACGAACCGCCCCAGAAAACATCACCAGAAACTCCAGCGGCGCCAGGGGCGGACCCTGGAGCACCAGCAAAAACGTGGGCGATATTTCCAGCCTCCGGGGGCCTCGGCAGCCAGTCTCCTGGGTGAAAAGGAAGATGCCCCTGGAGACAAAAAATCTGTTCACTGTCACTGCCCCCGTCAATCGCACGTAGGGCGTCTTGCACAATGGCAGCGTCACAGGCCTCTTGGCGCGGACCAGAGACGCTCGGGCACTGCCACAGTCGGTGAAGCAAATTATCAGGAGCAACGCCGCAAAGCTGGCAAATCTTGTCTTGAAGCAGGCGCCCGCACTCGACAGCGCGGTCCTTAGTCCAGGCGCCGCCGCAAGCGATCATCCTGATCACCCCATCGACCGCGCGGCTTGAGGGCCGAGCGCCGCAACTCTGAGGCAACGACATCAAAGCACATCCTCCCGCTCCCAATCTTGTCGCCCACCGCCCTCTGGTGCGAGCGGATGACCCCTCAAACAGAAGATCTGCCACGAGAGCTGGCGACGCAGTCGTGAGCGGGACCTCGTCACCGAAATCGTTGACGAGCGTATGCCAAGATGGCATGTGCCATCCAATCCTAACAAGAGATAAACGCATGGCCTGCATGGGGCCTCGGACCTGGCGCCAGACGGGAGCGGGGTGGTCAACGAAGCTAGATTTCCAAGCCGCACCCAGCTCAGAGAAAGGCAACGCATGATCAGACAACCTCGTCTGGGCCCCCCAAACCTCTTTCGACGACCGAACGATCGGGGCCACAGCGGCCCTCCACGCGGGGTCCTGGTAGAGGATAAGGAGGGAGGTGGGGGGGGCGCTGGCCCGAGGAAGGCTTCAGGGTGGCTCCTGAGGCTCTTCGGGCACAGGCGAGTTCAAAGTCTGAAATGCCGTGGGTGTCTGCGTCATAACTCAATCCTGCAAGGGGGTCCGTGCTAAAAATGCGGCACGTGTGTCGGCCAAGCATGGCCTTGCACCGCTGGAACCTCGCTTGCCGCTGTTTAAGTATACGGCGCCTTTTAGCATACGTTATGCCTCTCCTGCCGCCTCTCCTCCCCATGCCCGCCGTCTCATCAACGCCCAGATTCACAGCAGTGGCCTTTGGCTGTCCAGCCAATGGACCCAGCAGCTTCTTGATGCGATCACCGCGGGGGGAGGGGGGACAAACGAGAGAAACCTGAGCGAGAGATATCGTGCAATCCATAATTTCCGTGATAACGAGGTGAAACTCTTTGAATGCTTCGACGACGATGTTAACGATCGAACGTGGGCGAGCCTGAACCGAATAACCGTAGTCATCAATGTGAACATCGAGGCAACGCTGCACTCTCGGAGATAACAGATCAAGAGACGGAATAACAAAAGCACGCGCAAAGCTGGTGGCGGCCGAGCACCCAGCCATGACACCTCTAAGCGCAAAAAACGGTCCTTGGACCACCGTGCCCAACATGATAAAATGCGGTCCTGCATACACGTTGAGGCAGACGTAGGCAATCTGCGGCGGAAAGCCCAGGTGCTTGCAGCGATCCATGAGCTTTTCGGGGCAGATGGTTTCGAAGAGTTTGTGGAGGTCCCATAGCATGCTGCAAGACACCTGCGAATTGGTCACTGTAGCCTCCGAGCGGAGCGACTGCCGCCAGACAACGCCCCCTGCTCCAGCAAAGGCCGAGGCGGCAAGGTCGGGCCCGTGCACGCTGGTCTCCCACGCCTGGAGGATGGGCCGCCGCAGCCTTCCCCGGAGCCTGTAAAAGCCAACAAATATGCCGATCGGCCTCCATCCCCCAGCCGGTGTTTCAAGAAGGGCCAAACTCAGAATGCGAACCTGCTTCGGGATCACACCAGTGCTTTCCATAACCGACCAGAGGGTCATCAAAACATGGAGGGCGGCATCACTAAGTGCCTGGAAGTGCCGCATGTGAAACCCGTCGACTCCGACGGCGGAGGCAGGCTTGTACGACCTGGAGGCCTTCCGAATGCATTCGGGTTCAAGCCACTCTAACGGTTCCAAAAACTTGACAAAGCCCTGCTCGGGGGGGAAAGGGGCCTCCTGGGCCCTCCAAATCCCCGAGAAACGATCACACTCAGTCTGCAACAAACTCTTGGGGTCCGCTAAAACCGTACCTTTGGAGGAGACGGTGCGGGTGGGGGTCCAGGCAGTGGGGGGGCGGGTCCAATTGTGAGCACGCTCCCCTCCCCCCTCCAGCCCGTCACACAACCGCTCCTTCCAAATAGCGGCTGTCTCGGCCCTGGCAGTGGCCGAGTAGTTCCCGAGAGCCTCGCTCAAGGCCGCAAGGGTGTCATGGCCCGCAGCCTGCCACATGTCTCCTACGTCCGTGGCGCCGTCACAAATTGGCTTCACGTGATCTTGGACACGCTGGGCCAGGTCCTGAAACGAAAACAAATGGTCACTCATGTCTCTGGGTGGCGATAACAACACTTTGGAGATGTCCCTGGCCTGGCACCAGCGGTCCGTGCTAGCGCAAACGACGAGCATCCTCAAACTGCCCTCGAGCCACCTGAGCAGGCAGCCTGGACTTGCGGCTGCGGTCTTGGGCGAGCACCGACTTCCACGCGAGCTTGGGAATCTTGCCACGAGTTCCTCGGATCGGCAGAACCATCTGGTACGCAGCCTCAAGCTCCTCTTCAGACTGATTGGCCCAAAGCTTATATAACAAACTCACATGACGCTGGATGGACGATTCGGGAGCCCCCGAACGCACCAAGGCGAGGGCATGCTCGGCACAGTCGAGAGCATCCTGCCAGCTGGAGGGTTGGGGGAAGGGCCCGACAGGGAGGGGTCCTGGGATCGGAGGGGGGCGCACAAAAGAGAGGACCAGAAGGTCCGGAAGCGACTGATGGAACCTGACACGGACGGGTCGATGAGGGCGAATGTCCGCATTCAACACGACCGAGGTACCAGCAACCCCTTTCCCGAGCCTGGGGCTACAGACGAAATTGTCGGGCATGGATCCACCTCCCGCAGCCGCGCTGGTGCAGGAGATGGAGTTGGGCGGGTAGACGATGTTAGCAGAAAGGCCCGCCACA